TGGAAAATGTTAAAAACACTCCTTGAAATCAGAAAAACAAATGTACACTACCAATACTTCTCTTCAGCCTTGTACTGAAAATCCTCACAAGTACAGAAATTCAGTAAAAAAGAAGTAAATGACATTAAGTATTAGGAAGAAAAAATTTTTCAGAAAGTATTATTATTTACATAGCAAACCTAAAATGAAGTAAAGACGAATTTTTAGAAATAACATTTTTAGCAAGGTAGCTACCTATAAAGTCAAGAAATAAAAATAAGTTGAATTTGATTCAGCAACAGAAAAGCATAATTTTAAATGTATTTGCATTATTACAAAAATAAAATATTTCCAATAATAAATCCAACAACAAAGAATAAGACCCATGAGCAGAACATGATAAAATTTAATTGAAATGCATTTTAGAAGACCCGATCGGAGGTCTGGATAGGAAGACATGTTGTACACGTGAGTCTGACTTACAGAGGTAATGCTATTAAATAAACATGCCAACAGGACTTTTACGGTGCTTCAAAAGTAGAACATTGAATTTATAAGGAAGGGTAAGGGGTAAGGAATAGATGTGATATTCTCACATCTTACATAAATACACAATTCCACTGGAATACGGGACTAAGAATCAGAAGCAAAACTTTGAAAATTAGAGTTTAATATGGGAGATGGTATCTCCGGCCGTAGAATAGGAAGAGGTTTCTTATAGACGCACGAACACTAAATGTAAAAGGAAATGTTAAGTTCAGTTACATTAAAGATTAAATATTTTAAGGTAAAGAGCACTAAGCCAGAATGAGAGAATGTGTCACATATTTAACCTACACAGAGGGTTAGATAGGAAACATGCAAAGTGATGAGAAAGGTGAGTAACAGAATAGACGACTCACTGGGGCTGGTTTTGTGCCTCAGAGCTATGGCCTAGTGCGTGCAAGGATCCCTAACTGCCAGGGGAGGGAGGGAGGATAGAGAATTCTTTAAGACTATTAACACGTTGCGCAGAAGAGATGTATGTGAGGTATAAACACAAGAAACAATTCTCAATCTCACTAATAGCCAGGGTGCGCAAAAGAAAACCACAGGTAGATGCCATTTGAGCCCCCCGGGTAATACTAAGGGTGAGGAAGGATACCTGGATCAAGAGGCACTTTTAAACAACACTGAGGGGAATGTAAATTGGCACACTGCCTTTGGGAAACAATCGGACATTCTCTTGGTTTCTGGTTTTTGGTTTATTTTTGTTTTTTTGAGACAGGGTCTCACTATGTTGTTGAGACTGACCTGGAACTCCCTATTTGGTCTCGAACTCACAGCGATCCTCCTGCCTCAGCCTCCCAAGTACTGGGATTACAGGCATGCGCCACCACACCTGGCTTCTCTTGGTTTCTTAGTATTTACACCACCTGTCCCCCACCAGTTCTCTCAGGTATCTCTTCTGGATTAGAGTAACTGCGTATTTACTTGCAGCCAGAAACAACTGCAGAAAACAGATAAATGTATTGTAGTAAGTTCACTTAGTAGACATTTAATTGTACAGCAAAGGAATGGAATGAACTAAGACTACAGCCACATGGATGAATCTTAGAAGTGCGGCGGTGACACATAAAACCCCAACCCCCAGAAGACTGTGGAGTGCATTTCTGTAAAGCTCAGAAAAGCATAAACTGACACATTGCTGAACAAACACCTGTGTATGCGAGCGGTTGACCTGTGCTTCAAAGGAGCAAGGCAGTGATTAAGACACCATTTACAGTGTGTGCCTCTGGAAAATATGCAAGAGGACGGAACAGTGTAAGGACGTACACACAGATGCAGATTCATTATTCAGTAAGTGGTGGCTGCTGGGATATTCGTCATTGTACTTTATAGCATCAGTGTATGTTGTAAAGAATTATATGCATATATATTTATATCATTATGTTTGCCTATATAATTATATACTACTATAATTATACTCGTTATACAATTATACATTTATTCTACATACTTAGCTAACTGTCAATGTTTGATGTATTAGATGTTGGCACTGAAGAAAAATAACTGTATGTAAAAAGTAAAAATCCTTTTGGATAGCCAATCAAAAGGGTCAAGACAGAACTGGGGATTTAGCTCAGTGGTTCCGCTGCCTGCCTCGCAAGCATGAGGTCCTGAGTTCAATCCCTAGTGCCAAAGAAAACACAAGGATCAAGACATTAAGAAGGAGGACTAGGGATAGAGGTAGATAGTTCAGCCACAGAGCACTAGCCTAGCATGTGTGAGGCTGTGGGTTCGATTCCCAGCACCACCAAAAAAAGTGGGGGTGGTGAATCAGACTAGCTGCAGATCGCTCTGTGATGGGCTCTGCCAACAGACTGAGGAACGAATATACTGTGGTTTTATATGCAGCCAATGTGTATTTCAAGCATGAAGGCTGCAGACAAAGTTTGGCACTTATATATATATGAGTGTCTTAGTTTGCTAGCGTGACCGTAACCAAACACCACAGACTGGAGCGACATGATGTGTTTTCTCACAGGTCTGGAGACTGCAAGACTTAAACAAAGGTGCTGTCAGTGTTGGTTCCCTCCTAGTTCTCCCTATGCCTGGCTTACAGATGGCCACTCTGGCTGCTGCTCCCTGTGCTCCACGATTCCACAGGACCCGGGCATGTCTTACTATGTCCTCCATAGAAATCCAGTCATGCTGGATTAGACCCTATGCTGATAGCCTCACTTTTACCTATTCTTCTCTTTAAAGACCTCCAAGTACAGTTGCATGCTGAGAAACTGGTATTGGGATTTAAGAATACGAATCTTGAACACAATTCAGCCCATGCCAATGATCTCTATACATTTCCCCGACCATTCTTAAGGAAACTACTGGGAGATGAACTTCATCCAATGGGAGAAGACTGTGGAAACCATGCAGATTATTGCCTGTAGTCCCTGAGTACATGTAGCTGTAGAACCGTACTGACACAGGTGAAACATATGATGACAAATCGGAGTATAAATACTACACGCTGACAGCATGCAATTATGACATTACCAAAACTTAGAAAGAAAGGAAAGGACACATTGTCTAATCGTCTCTTCTGTAACAGCTGGGGATGAGAGACCATCAATCGAAAGTGACAGGTGAAATACATAGAAAAATACAAGATTAGTCCTAACTCTAAAGTCGGACTTGAGTCAAGGGATGGAATTTTGTATACGGTAAAGACAGCTTGTCCACTTTTTTTATTTTGGCATGTCCACTTTCATTGGAACAGCTTAGTAGCCCTCAGTGGTATGTTTTTCTTCACAGTAGGTTAAATTCCAAGTCGATCAGAGACTTTTTATTTTTGTATCAGTACGCGTTTGCAGTACGCGATGTTTACGTCCCTTGTACGAAGTTGGTGATGGACGTAACACACCTTCATTCCTGTTTTCATCATCTACTCTCCCTCTCCTTCCACCTCCCTTCATCTCTTGATCCCTTTCTCATTGGAGAAGCAGCTCTCTTCCTTCTGCCTGTTATCTATCTTTTATTTTGCGTGTGTGTGGTTAACTTATGGTCTCGGGGCTGGGGATTTAGCTCAGTGGTTCTGGAGCCTGCCTCACAAGCACAAAGGCCCGAGTTTGATCCCCAGTAGCCCCCACCAGAAAAATGTTATGGTCTCAAGGTGCATCCATTTTCCTACAAATGACTCGTTTACAAGTGGATCAAAGATGTAAATGTCAAAAATGAAATCAGAAGTTCTGAAGAATAGCAAAAACATAATAAACCCTGTCTTGATGACCTTTAAGTGATAAAGACCTTCCTAATGACAGCTAAAATACGAAGTCATCAGAAATAAATTAATAAATCAAAACCTGCATCACACAAAGCACTGTAAGTCCAAAAGCAGACTTTAAACTAGGGATACATGTTTGTAAATCAAATCACAAGCAAGGGAGTGCTCCTCCCATATAGAAAGAGCTTTTTTTTCCCCAATAGGATAAAGACCTCACAGAAAAATTAACAAAATATAAAAACAGTTCATAAAAAGGAACTGTAAAAGCTATAAAGTATGAAAGGATGATAAGTTCCACTCATAAGGAGGAAGATACAGATTAAAATCATATTTTTCACCTATCACATTGACAAAGGCCCAAGAGTTTAGTAACGGACTCTGTGACCAGGCTGTAGGGAAAGGGGGTCACTCACATATATCTGGAAGATTAAATTGTTACCCTCTTGCGGAGGGCAGTGTGACATTATCAAAATGAAATGTGTATTCTCTTGCCATACTATGTCCACACCTGGAAATGTATCCCCCCGACGCCCTTGCAAAAAAGTAAGATTACACCTGTACAAGATTATTTGTGCAGCAGTGTTTGTAATAGTGAGAAGAGACAATTGATTAATAGGGATCCAGCTAAATAAATAATGGCACATCCATAAAGGAAATGCATTTCAGCTGTTAAAGAATGAAGCTTTTCATACACGGATGGAGAAATCTCCAGGGTATGCACTTAGTGAATAAAGCAAAGTACAGATCAGTGTCACTTCTTACATAAGCAGTAGGTTACCTCCTGTTAAAGAAGGGTGGGAATATAATTCTCTATACATATTTGCTTGTGCAAAGCAAATCCTGGAAGAATAAATAAGAAGCTAAAAATACACAGTAGAGACAAAGATGGCAGGAAGACTTTTCTGCATACTTTGTAGACTTCCTGTTTTTTTGAGCATGTGAGCTACCTGTCTAAAAAGTTTACATAAATAAGAACATGAACAAGAAATACAGTTCTGCTAAGAAATACAGTTCTGCTTGAGTACCTTGGGCAAGAGACTTAACCTCCCTGAATCCTAGTTTTCTCATTAATGAAAGGCTGTTTAATGTCGTTAGTAAGCTGATAGGATTAACAAGAGCACAAACGAAGTACTCAGTAGATGGCCAGGACCCAGTTAATATTGACAATAATAGTGATAGGTTACTAGGCTTAATCCTGGTAATAAATGAGCATGTTACTAAGAGACACCTACCGTGACTGACCTTTTCTTTGTAGAACCAGACGTCCTGGGTGCTTTCCAGCATGGCGGCCCTCTACTGGAGAGTGAGAGGCCAAGGAAAGAAGGCCATAGACTGCCTGCGCCAGGCCCTGCATCACGCTCCACACCAAATGAAAGTGAGTAGGCGGGACTCGCCATGGCGGGACTTCATGCTGCGGTCCTTTCCGTCACCCCATGGCTTATGCTGAGAGGTCACTAGCCTTTCTCAGGCCCAGCCAGGAAGGCAGATGCGCATGGGCAGCAGAGCCTGTGGCCTGGCTTGTGTCATGTTAAGCCTGTGAACTGTTCCCCCAGCGTGGCCCTGCCTGAGAAGGGGAATCCTGAGGGAAGATCTTCAAGATCACTCTGGGACATTACCTCACTTAGTACCTCTTCTGCTGAGTTTAGAGTCACCCACTGAAGGCTTTCTGGGTTTATCTTTCCATACTTTCACGTAGGCATCATCCTTGTAGTAGTTTCCGATCCTTTTCTGACACCTGCACAGACACCCCCGTCCCCCCCCTTCAGTCCAGGGCTTCGTTCATGCTAGGCAAGCGCTCTAGCACAGAGCCACATCCCCAGCCCTTCCTTTCCTTTCGACATACCTGCACACACGTGCACGTCACCCTGCTAACCCGGTGTGATAATCGGTCTTTCCCTGAATGGCTGAGAATGTACCACTTTTTAATGGCACATTTGTATCCCCGTGTGCAGAGTTCTGCATTGACCCAGACCTCATACTTCCTAAGACGTAGCTTGTGTCTCTTTGGTTTGTCCAGGCAGTACATAGAAAGCTGGAGGGAGCACAGGCTGTACTGTTGGGCATTGCTGAGTCCTAAACACAGCTCTGCTTGCTTACTCCTGGCTCTCTGAGCTTAGGTGAGTTACTGGACTTCTGTGGCCTCTCCATCCAAGGACGTGTACTGCATGGACGTCCCATAAGGACAGAGATGGGTCCCTTTTGTCTTTTTCTTTTGCATCCCCTATAGAACCGAGCACACTGTGGTATAGCCAGTAGTTGCTCAGGTCACATGTTTCAAGGGGGAAAAACTTGTGATACTGTTGCTTCTTGTTGGCTCCATCATTCTGAACTCTACGCTCAGGCAATGGCGAAGGACCAAGGATTTCCATCAGGGTTTGGCAAACATGCTGGAGAGGGCCCAGTAGAAACACTTAGACTCTGCACGCCAGACAGTCTCTATTGTAATTAGGTGATTCCGCTATTGTGGTATGAAGTCTGCCCTTGAAATACCCAGTGGGAATGATCGTGTTCTGGTAAAACGTGGTGGAAACCGTAATCAGACTGGAGTTGGCCTGTGGCAGACGTTGCCCGGGCTCTGCTCTATATGATGCAGTCATCCTGTGTCTCAGTTACAGCACCTCTCAGAGTGTGGTCTTTGAGCAGATGTCTGTCTGCACACTTTTTATTACCAACCTGCAGTAAGACAAGAGCATGCAGCAGAATAAATCAGCTACTACCTTGCTCGACAGATTGTTTACTTAAGCAATTTTTGTTTGGTTTGGTTTGGTTTGAGGCAAGGCCTTGTCACTGAAAGAAGAAGGAATTAATTTGTGTTTTGTACAAGCTCCTGTTTTGGTCTCCTGTCACAGACCAGTAGCAGACAGCAGGTTAGCACTGGGGATTGGTCCCGTGCGTCATTTACCAGGAAACACACAGTGCATTCTTTATGATCAGAAAGCCCAAGCTGAAAGCTCCACGTTGCCTCCTTCCACTCTCCGCCTTTCCTCAGGACGTGCCCCTGATCAGCCTGGCCAACATCTTGCACAACGCCAAGCTCTGGAATGATGCTGTCATCGTGGCCACCATGGCGGTGGAGATCGCACCGCACTTTGCCGTGAACCACTTCACGCTGGGCAACGTCTACGTGGCGATGGTGAGACCAGGGTGTGAGCTCCTCTGTGACCTCAGAACGTCCCTGAATGTGTCATTCATTGTCCTCCAGTTCCCTGGACGTGTTCTGTCTGAAATTGCCAGCTCCACCAGGGTGATTTTATAAGAAAAGGTTTGAGAGTTTAGCTTGTTTGGTTTTTGGTTTTTATTTGTTTTGCACTGCATGAAGCATTTGCAACTCTGGAGTCCTCGCCGTGAGTTTAATACTGATAGTAGAGTCAAGTTTACCTCCATATTTCTGCAGACACCTCCTGTTCCAGTCAGCCCCACCTAACACTCCTGGAGACACACACCCATCTCCTCTCCCAGCTTGGGAGCATTCCTGACATCCTGCATGTCTGTCCCTTGATTTATAACCGTTTGTTAAACATTTGCCTCTCCCTCTAGACTACAAGCTCTTTAGGGCCAACAGTCTTCATCTCCTGTTCCTAGAACCGTACGGTGTTGGGCACATAGTAGGGGCTCATCAGATTTTTAATGAATGGTGAAAATCCCAGTACTTTCACAAATACAATTTACAGAGAATGTGGGAAAGCCACCACCCAGATTCCTCATTCTGGTCAGAAACAGTGACTAATTTCAGAAAGTAAATCCCGGAGGTCCCTCTGAAGGCTGACATAACCGAATTTGACATGAGAATCGTCCCATCCCCTTAAAGCATGGAGTCACACAGGGAGCTGTGCCCAAGATTTTCTCGCTATTGGCTAATAAAATGGGCAACCCTTAGCTATCAGCTTTATGTATTGTCCCTGACTTCAGGGCCAGGAAGTACAATTTGGCCAGGTTAGTAGTGCTGAACGTGCAGATTTCCCTCTCTGCGATCTATTTTTGTCCCCAGTGAATGGGAGATTTGCTGCTAAGAATGAAGATTCTGTCTCTCCCTGGGCTAGACAGAGTCATTTAACCAGTTGGTTCTGGCTCTTCTTTGAGAGGATCATGTGAGTAAAATATTAACACCCTCATCACAGTAGTGGTCACTTCCAAATCCTGTTGATTTTGTGAAATGTGAGGGAGAATTAAGTCTTTAAAATGTACAGGTCTAATCAAGGTACCTGACTTGACTTCCATCTTTCCAGCTATGGTAGAAAATGTAGGCAAGTGTGTAATGAGCTTTCTCCCGGCATGATCCTAGAGTTGTCTGCAGGGATAAAAAGGGAGGATTTCAGAAAGCACCGAGCTTGGTGCGTGGCACATTTTGGGTCCTCACTAATGCGAGTTCTGTTACTTTCACCATCGTGCCCACAGCTAGTCCTCGCCTTTGTAAAAGCTCGTCTGCCCTCCCTCCCCTCTGCACCTCGGGCAGGAGGCAGCCTTGCCCTGCCGCCTCAGGGATCTCTGTGGAGGCAGGTCCCCTGAGGTGACAATGCGCCACCTGTCTCACATGTGCCGTTGGCCCTCACAGGAGGAGTTTGAGAAAGCGCTGGTGTGGTACGAGTCGACCCTGAAGCTGCAGCCAGAGTTTGTCCCAGCCAAGAACCGGATCCAGACCATCCGGTGTCACTTGATGCTCAAGAAGGGGCGGCGTTCTCCGTAGGGCACCGCTGTTGTCTTCCCTCACCTCGCGCTCAGAGCAGAGTCTGCAGAGAGCCCAGTCATCCGCAGCTCCTTCTCGCGACGCGTGTGGGGATGGCCAAGACGCGGAAGGGACCTGGGCAGGTGTGGGAGTTGGCTCGGTGAGATTTGAAGTTCCTCCCTCCCCCTGCCACCTCAGAGAAGGCACCTTCAGAAACACATTTCCTCAAAGGAAACGCAGCTTAGAGATGCCGTGTAAATACTGAGCCAAGACATTTCCGGAGCCTCGAGGCTTTAGGGCCTCTCTCCACGGTCCAGCCAGCCCCTCCCTGGAGGCGGCCAAAACCGCACCTCGCACTCTGCTTCCGTTGCAGCCTGTGTGCAGCGGGAGCGCCAGGCCCCCCAGCTCTCCGCCTGCCCCGGGCCTGTCCATTCTGTGCTGCCCTCACCACTCTCAGAGGTCGTTTGCAGGGGAGGAAGGGGAAACTGATTTTAGAAACAAAATATTCACAACAACAAAAACTCGTAGGGTCACCTGGCCTTCGTGATGTTATTTATGTTGGGGAGGGAGGGGGGCTGAGAAGGGGAATCAGCAGTGGCAACATCTTTATCATTTTGTACTTTGATTACCAATCACAAGGAAACCAATACGTTGCAATGCTCTATAACAGGTTTTATATATATATATAGAATATGTATATTTGAAGCCCTCTACAGACCAAGTCTGTGTGTTACTAATTCTCTGCTCACTGTGTTACCCATGTTGGGGTAGACGTGACTGTCAGCCGCCTCTCTGAGGCCTTCCCACCCAGCTCCTTGGGAAAGAGTAGGGAACGGAGGTCCAGGGTCTCCGCGCAGTGCCTCTGCCCGTGCTCCCAGGGGAACCAGGAACTCCAACATTTCGTCAAGGGCACGATCTGAGAACAAAAATAAAAGTCATTGATGAGCAAAGCAGGTCTGTGGTGTGGGTTTTCTTCAGAACCAGGCTAATTTGAGCCACCATAGAGCCTGTCCGTAACCCTGCCTCTGACCTGCCCGGGACCTGCTTGCCTTTATCTTCTTTTCCACAGCAAGGTGAGGGCCAAACCATCCACCGCCCAGCTCTGAGGTGGGTGAACGCATTAGCATGATGCATTTGCCTGCAGAAGGCACACAGTCAGCCCATATTCAGAGTTTGGTAGGGCCGGGGATTCAGTGGTGCCGTGCTTGCCTTGTACCAGAAAAAAAAAACAAAACAGTTTGTCGTACAGTTGACCTTCCCAGAGAAAGAATCAACCACATAGCCACATCCCCCGAGGAGGACAGGTGGGGGGCATCACCCCCATAAGCGCCACAGAGAGAAGCGGCGGCTGTCACGCCTGTCATGACAGTTCACAGACTTTCCCTGAGTGCCGTCCGCTCACCGCACTGGAGCACCTGGCCCACAGGCTCACCCTGTGATCCCTTGGTGGTCGGGCACCCTGTGGACTCCGCCCTGTGTGCAGCTGGAGTCCAGTGACCTGCGTTGTTACCTGATGTCTTTGGGGAAGAGCAAGCTCGTCTGTCACGGAATGAACTGACCCTTTCCTGACGGGGAAGACCCTTCTAAATCAGCCCACCTGTCTGATTATTCTCTCTGCGTCCCCACCCTGCCACCGCTGGGTGTTTTAAACGGTTGCTTGGTTTTCTGATGCTGGCATGTGATGACGCTCACTCTTGGGTGCACGGTTCTCTGAGTTTTGCCAAGTACAGGGTCGCACAGATGCCCCAGCCATCAGGATGGGAAATGCCCACCGCTCAAAAAGGGTCCCTCATGCTGTCCCTTCTTAGTGAAACCTTCCCACCCTTCACCCTCGGTGACTTCCGGCCTGTTCTGTTCCCTACAGTTGCTCCTCTTCCTTAGCGTCCTACATTTGGAATTTGCACAAACTGGACAAGGCAGCACATGCCCATAATCCCAGGGGCATAGGGCTGGGGAGGATTCGAGGCCAATCGGGGCAATTGATCGAGACCCTGTCTCCTCATGAAAAGATGGGCTGAGGATGTAGCTCAGCGTGAAGATCCTGGGCTCAATTCCATGCCACAGCAAGGTGGCAGGTTACACACTATATATCCTATTAAGTCTTTTTCACTTACCCTAATGTGCTTGGGGTTCACCCAGGCTGTGTGAATGAGTGGTTCGTTAACTTTTCCTTGCTGAATAGTATTCCATCGTTTACTTGCCTGCCAGAGGACACCGCAGTGTTTCCAGCTTTTAATAAAGATGCAGTAAACATTTCACGTATAGGCTTTTGTGTGCACCGTCGTTTTGCCTGTGTACATAATTCGGCAGTCATTTCCCTGCTCTAGATCTTTGGAAATCAGGCGCAGTCAGCCAGGATTCAGTGGCTGCAGCTTCAAGTCGGTTTTATACAGGAGGAGGGTGGGGTAGGTGCAAGTGTGAATCTGTTCCCCATCTCACTGCAAGTTCTGCGTCAACTTGGGTTGGTGGGAAGCTGGGCTTCGTGGCCGGTGACACAGAGCCACTGTGACGCAGAGAGGAACAGGCGGGTGGGAACTGGCAGCCCGAGGCCCACACAGGTATCTTGCCCACCTGCCTTGCAGTTTTCCCGCCCTGTTGCTGCCAACCCAGAACTCTCTGGGGCTCATTCACTATATAGGTCAAAGGTTTGACTTGCGTTAGTCTAAGATGTTGGTGCCAACATGCTCCTTTGGAATGCTGAGCCCAAATCTCTAGGACAGGGGGCAGCAGATACTGTCCCTTCTGTCCCACATACGAAGGGCTTCCAGGAAAGACTCCTTCAGTACTTGGGCTGTGTCACAGGGACCCAGCCCTGGAGCTACTCTGTAGCGGGGCTGTGCCTGACTCAAAGAACCCAGATTGGGCTTCACAAACCTGAACTCATGTCTTAGTCTTGCCTCTTACTAGCAGTGATCTCCAGCAAGCCATTTAGCTCTGCACTGAGATTCTTACAGACAGAAGATACTGTGAAAATGATGAGAATTACTATATATGTTAGCTTTTCATCACTGTGACAAAATACCTGAGAATAACAACTTTAAGGAGGAGAGATTTATTTGTGCTCATGGTTTCAGATGTTTCAGTCCATGGTCACTTAGCTCTGCTATTTCTAGGCCTATAGTGAGGTAGAAACATGACAGCAGAAGGGCATGGTAGAGGAAAGCTGGGGGTGGCAAACAGAGTTTCCTAGGTCCTACTCCCATGACCCACTCCTTCAGCAGGTCCCCACCTCCTAATACCCCATTTGGCTGTAAACTCAAAGGATTAATTCACTGAAGAGGTTAGTGCCCTCATGATCTGATCACTGCCCAAAGGCTACACCGTGCCCTTTCTGCCTTGGAGCCAGCCAGCTGTGGGCTGAACCTCTCCCTTAAGTTGTGAGTACCAGGTACTATGTCTCAAGATTGAGAAGGTAGCTAAGACACCCACAAACTGCACTCTGACGTGTCCACTGTCCGAGTCCTCCGGGGTGATCCAGCCTTTTCTAGGAGCAGGTTTCAGTTTCTACTCTAGGCAGAGTCATCGACGGCCCATTCCCTTCCCCGCGTTTCCCATGCTAGTCTTCGGCCATTCATTCAACAGCCACGTATCAAACACCTACAACGTGTCAAGTACTGTGCCGGCCACTGCAGGTGAACCAGAGTGACAGGAGAAGAGAAGGTGGTGAGAAACGAGGCTGGAGCCAGATCACGCCAGACAACATCAAGAGCACCGACGAGTTGGGGCTTTGCCCCGGATGCAACGAAGAGCTACCCTAGCATCACTTTAGCTACAACTTAACACTTCGCATGCTTCCTTCCACATTTACGTGCCTGGGACCATGCTCTTCCCACTGCCTGGGGTGCCAGTTCCCTGCAGCCTTCCCCCTTTATTCATTTACTTAATTCTACTGCTTTACTACAGGCACTGCTCACAGGATGCCAGGCTTTCTGAGCACCTGTCATAGTCCCTATGGTGACACTCGTCCCTCGGCATTGAAATGCGCAGATTGTGTATCTTGTGTCCCGTCAGATGCTTAGCTCCATGTCTATTCAGTGTCTATAGCCCCTGCTCTTACAACATTAAGGCCCAGCACAAAGCCCTAAGTTGATTTAAAAATAGGGAGAAAAAAAATAGTTACTAAACAGTTGAATTAATGGTGAGCAGAACCAGCAGTACCCAAGAGAAAGTACACCGACTTCAGGGAGAGGAGACAGAACAGGAGCTACTGAAAGGCAAGGGAAGTACTGGGAGTGTAGCTCAGTGGTGCTGAACTTGCCCAGCATGTGTGAAGCTCTAGATACAACCCCCAGCATTGTATAAAAACTAAGATTAAAAAACTAGATGAGAAAATTCTTTTTTAAAAAAAAGGGCGGAGAGGAAAGACAAAACCAGGGAAAACTCTACTCATAGAGTGTAGAAAAGGTGCTTTCACTCAGTATTCGGAGGTACTACCTGGCCTCCAGCCCCACTTTGGAGCCCCTCACTGCCCCTGACCCATGTGTAGCACTGTGGACAGGGACAAGCCCACACTGCACCTATCAGTAAGTATTAGCTCATTAACCTAGGCCTCTGGTCCTACCATGAGACCTTTTCCTAATTCTACAAATGACCCCTTTTTTGTTAAGAGTTCATTGCATTTCTGGATTCTAAGGCAGTGATTTCCAAGCCTGGAATATGGGCAGCTTGCTCCAAAGAAAAACCAGGAAGATTTTTCTTTGCTTTGGTAGATTTCTTCCATTCTGTCTCCCAGTTCACTAATTCTCTCTTGAGCTATGTCTAGTCCAGCCTAGTGTTTAATCCATACATTGAGTTTTTGTTTTAATGGTTATATTTCTCACTCATAGGATTTCTACCTGATTCTTTTTATCATATCCACCTGTTTTTGTTTCATAATCTCTTCTTGTTTTATGGATCATAGGTTCTCTTTTAACCACTTGAACAGTTTCAGAATATTTAATTTTCAATTCGGTCTATTCTTCTTTAGAAATTAATTCTGTTTCTTGGATGTGTGGATCGGCTAACCCCATAACATAATATCTCCGGTACTTAGACACTGGACCACTACTCCTATGTTCTCTTATGTCCTTGGCAAGCACATCTAGTCTGCTGAATAAGGTGGATGAGGCCACACCATCATGTTTTGACAAAAATTGCTGTAAGTGTTTGATCCATGACAAGCGATCACAAAATATGGTGAATGTTTAAATTAAAATATTCTTCCTCTTTGAAACCCTTACTCCATCATTCTTGGAAGTGTATCTGTTACTATAACAAATGTTTTTCTTTTCATGTAGACCATCACAGTATCTTTTGATCACCCTCATGTGCGTGTGTGTATGTGTGTGTGTGTGTGTGTGTGTGTGTATTTTTATAAGAAATTGGCCTATGTGATTATGGAGATTTAGAAATCCCATGATCTGCTGTCTGCAAGCTGGGAACCCAGAAAGCTGTGGCCAGCTCAAAAGCCACAGAGCCCCAGAGCCAATGGTGTAGATTCAAGTCCACGTCTGAAAGAATCAGGAGCGGCGAGAACAGGCAAAGATCGACGCTGCGATTCGAGCAGTCAGGCAGAGAAGTCAGCCTCCTCCACCCTCCTTTTCTCCTCAGGCTTAGATTGGGTGATGGCCCTGTCAGGGGAGGAAACCCTTAGCCCATGCTGACTTCTCAGAAGTGGCTGGCGGAAGCCTGTGGCTTCTCCCTTGCGCCCTCCAAGCGTCCTGACAATGAGTCCAGAGTCATTCACACAAGTCATTCTCTGCAGCCAGTGCCACAGAGAGCGGCTTCCACAGAGGCTACTGCCGGATGGGAGGCTTAGGAGGCTCAGCTGCTGCCTGGGTAAGGGAGCAACTCGCTCTTCAAATCCTGCAGGGGGCAGCTGGACACCGGCTGAGGAGCTGAGTACCAAAAGGCAACTAAAGGACGAGCATTCCAGATGGTTGTGTCTTGGGCACCCTGATGCTCACAGCTGCTGGCCACAGAGGAGGGAGAAGTGCTCAGAGCCCCCAAACCTGCGCCAACCTGTAGCCACCACTCACTGCTCTGCCTCTTCCTATTTACTCTTAAATTCATTTCAGTGGACTATAATTTAAAACTCAGTTCCTGAGCTCCTCACATTCCAAGCTCTCAACAGTCATGATGGCTACTGCGTCAGACGGTACAGAGATGAAACAGGTAGATCCTAGACGATGAACTCTGCCCCCAGCCCAAGTGCTCCGCCACCAAACAGTCCACAGCGGAAATCACCCTTGAGTGGGGCCAGTCACAAGGCTATGACACATGGGGTCCCGGAGGCCAACCTGACTCCAGGTTCTTCTTAACAGTAACACTTGCTCCTCAGACCTGGACGAATGCAGGAACCCAGCTGAATCCAGGTGAAACTGGGTGTGAAACGAGCTGGCCCTGGTTCTTTTGGATAAGAGAGGAGATGAGGGCCAGCAGCAGGTCCCAGCACGAGCTCCCCTGGCCTCAGCACCTCTGCCACGATGTCTACTTGCCAAGCAGCGAGCACCATGCCAGAGCCACCAGTGGCTGCCCACCTCCCTCGGCATCCACAGCTACATGCCCAAGACTGCCGAACACACGAATAGGGACTCTGGCTGTGGCGGCACCCTCGTCCCTCACACAGGCAGGCAGTGCTGGAGAGTCCAGGCCCCAGGACTGACTAGATAAGACGGCCCTGGAGTGAGATCATTCTGGGGGGTGCTGGACTCCCAGAGCCCCATGGGAGATTGAGCTTTGCCGGTCCCCCCAGGGTGAAGGGACACCCTTCACCGGCTCCCTCCTCTTCCCGCTCTCACTCACCTTTCCCTACTGGTGTTCCTTCAGGCACTTCCCACAAAATGGCTCCTATAAATCCTCAGAGCTTTTGACGAGGGAAACCCAAGGCAAGTGGCACGCACGGGGAAAGAGGGTTTTAAGAAGCACCAAACCCACTTCCTCCCTTGTGAGTCTGAGTGCCTTGGGAGAGGCAGGCCGGGAAAGGGTGCTCAGGAGACCCTGAGGTGAGCAGCCCCGTGGTGGGGCCCCTGTGAGACACCAGCAGGGGCTGCTGTGGGAGAGGGGCAGGAATGGTTCTAGGGGGAGGAAGGTGTCGGCTAAGCTGAGTGCTGACAGCTGAGCCACAGTGAATGGGGAGCCGCTGACATCTTCAAGCTGCTTAGCATGACTGGATTCACATTTCAGGAGACCGCCTAACGGGGCGTGGAGAATGGACCGGAGGGTCTGGTCCCACC